AGTTTGCCAGAATTGCTCCATCGTATTGTATTGTCTTTGCAATTATAATTCACAGCGTTAAAAGTATCCGGTGGGCGCAGTCGCTTTAAAGCTTGGCTGATACTGATCTGTACACAATGGAAAAAGTTGCTTCCCAGATTCCACCCAAATCTGAACTCAATCCTAGAACTGCCTAACTGTCTTCCCTGAGCTTCTCTTAATAGGAAACAGGCTGTCTGTCCACACTGTGTAAGGCAAGATTGTGTTTTACTGCTCTGACTCGGATCACTAAGAAAAGAAAACGCCCATAGGGAAGTTTGAAGAAAGACCTCCACACGCACTGCTAATCTTGGTCTTCAAGAAAAGCATCAAGACTGCTTTGGGAAATGCCACATACCAAACTTATCAGGGTAGAGACAGAGACTAGAAACCCAAATCCAGAAAGAAACCTTTCTAAAAAGCCTGTAACAACACATTAGCTTTGGGAAATCGGATTGACTATTTTAACTGGGTAGTGTGTTTTTGCCAAAGGGGACTTCCAGCTTTATAAATAGTCCCTCACCAATAGCTCCAGCTTCTAAACATAAAACTTATTAATATCAGAATTTGGATATGTCCTGGTCACATTCTATGTATTTTTGGTATGAAAAATTAGAGGGGGGGGGGAGGGAGACAAAGAAGTTTCCTGTTAACATACATCTTCCTGGAGAGCATTCAGTTGCATCCCTTCCATCATCTGTTGCCATAGTAACTCTTATCAGTGCCCGTTGTGGGAAGGAAGTGACCTGCCTCTGATGTGATATATGCAGCTCAGGTGGAAAGTCTCGTCCCTAGCACTGCTCCATTGTTAAGCACTGCTCCAATGGAACCAAGGGGAACCTGGCTTGCTTTCTGTAGTTACATAAAAAAATAAATATCTCATCAGTTCTTTGACTCTTCCCAATCTTTTGAACAGGCAGGTGGGTTGGGGAAGCCGCCCCCCTACCCCCTCTCAGGTCCTTAAGAGGAGGGCCCATCCCCTAGCCGAATGGCCCCAAAGAAGGTGGTGTGCCTGCTCATGTTGATGGAGATGTCAGCGTGGACCATTTTCACAGCAATCTTCTGCCGAGCTTTGAGGAGACAAACCCCAGCGGTGTAGCAGGTGTTGAAGTTGGTCTTCCCTGTCTCAATACTCCGAGTGCATTGCAGAAAGGGCTGTTCATCCACCACCACCTCGAAGCTGGCAAAATCTGTGAAGTTTATGTAATATACCTAATTGGAAGCAAACATATTTGGGGGGAAAAAGTATAACCAGGAGGAAGAAACCCTACAGGAGATTCATGTAAAAGTGCGCCTATAGCAATGCTTGTTATTTAGAATACAGGATAAATTACTCTTTAATGATGGTAGAGAACACAGGCACCAGTCACTGAGCCAAAAACTGTCTCCGTCTCATGCACACAAGAAAAAGAAATGGAATACATTTAATGGAATACACAATGGTGGTTTAACTGATAATCGATTACCCTTGAAAGAAATCTAATTTTGTTTACAGATTACTTTCAAAGAAAACGTAAGGCTTCAGTTGATTTTCCACTTCTATGGTTATTGGCCTATCAAAGCAGCAATGCTGAAATGCCATCTCTCGAGGAACAAGCCAATCCACACAAGAAAAATATGTAACTTCATTGGGAAAGATTTGGCCTGTGGAGATAGACATCCACAGAGGCTCTAAAGAAATTATTTGTGGAAAGCTGTTTTAATAGCAATAGCACTTAGACTTATCTATCGCTTTACAGTGCTTCCCAGACCTCTGTAAGCGGTTTACAGAGTCAGCATATTGCCCTCAACAATTTGGGTCCTCATTTTACCCATCTTGGAAGGATGGAAGGCTGAGTCAACTTTGAGCCTGGTGGGATTTGAACTGCCAAATTGCAGACAGTCGGCAGAAGTAGCCTGCAGTACTGCTCTCTAACCACTGCGCCACCACGGCTCAGTTTAAAAAGAACAACCCTCATATTCTTCATGGAATGCTCCAATCGCAGTTTTTTATGAGGTCCCCGGTGAAAACAACCCGGCGCCACCTGTGTAAAAGATTTCAGGCTGCGGCATTCACAGACAAGCTGCCAGAATGACCCATTAAGCTTGGAGCCCTTTTGCCTTGTCTCGCATGGGAGCCTTTCACACCTCTCTCTGCCTGCGGACTTGGCCCGTCTTCGGTCAGCGAGTTCCAGATTCCTCCCCTGGTGCTCCATTCACCCCACCTGACCCCAAATTCTGTAGGAAGGTGTAATTCACAATATACAGTAGGACAACAGGTCAACTGCAAGAAGGGAAGGGCAGGTGAGAACAGGCAGCTTAGGAAAGAGTTTTTGTAGACACGCTCCAAGGTAAGGCGTGTGCAACTCCCATTGGCTTAGAGGCTGGGATTTGCAAATGGCGGGATGTGCTCTCAAAATCGGCAAGAATACTTACAATTTCATTCCATTTTTAAATCGTATTACTTTTCATTTGTTTATGGAGGGGGGGGGGTATAATTTTATTGTAACACTATTTCTCTATTCCTAAACCCACCCACCCCAAAATGATCTGCAGTGCTTGTGGGTTGGGTTTTATTCCCCTTTAGCACCTATGACACTGAAAAAGTAGTTTTCTTTTCTTTTTAATTTAGAAGACATAGAAAGGGACACATTCTTTGAGGTGGTTAAGTGAATAAGTACATGGGGGCAACCAAGAAAGGGATTTGGGGGCAGGGGGCCAAGGAGAAGGGACCCTGGCCATCAAAGACGACAGTTGGAAAATGCCATATAAGCAAAGTGGTAGCGACTGCAGGGAGATGCAAGCTTGGAGAAGGGAGGAAGGGTGGGATTGAGGGTGGGGCTTCCATTAGAATCCTGTTAGACACATATATTCTAGACCAGGGGTCTCCAACCTTGACAACTTATGGACTTCAACTCCCAGAATTCCTCAGCCAGCTTTGCTGGCTGAGGAATTCTGGGAGTTGAAGTCCGTAAGTCTTTAAGTTGCAAGGTTGGAGACCCCTGGTCTAAAAAAGGAGCTGGTATTTCAGCAATACCACAGCGTCCTGAATTTATTCCCTATTCTCTACAAGACAAGAGACTTCTTAATGCACACACTTTTCATCGCCTTCCTGGTTCTGCAGCAACACTCTTCCGATGCCACCGATGTTGCATTTTGGATAGAGGAAAAGGAGTTAGGCCTAAGACCGTACTCACTTCTACCTGACTATAGACGAAGTACGTGCCGTCTGCCAGTACCTCCAGCTCGCCACTCCGGGTGTGCAGCTTAAACACTTTCGGGTTCATCGTTATGCGAGACCAGTCATTAAGAACTCCACCTGAAAGATCTCAGCAAGAGAAAATGGCAGTCACTCAAAAGCCTTCATGAAGAGAAACATAAAAACAAGTACCAATGTGATGGGATCAAGGTAGAACACGTAACACATTAAAAGGTGAAGATTGGTTTAGACCAGAGGTCCCCAAACTTCAACTCCCTGGTGGACTGGTGGACTTCAACTCCCAGAATTCTCCAGCCAGCATAACTCCCAGAATTCTCCAGTATAGCTGGCTGGAGAATTCTGGGAGCTGAAGTCCACCAGTCTTAAAGTTGCCAAGTTTGGGGGCCTCTGGTTTAGACTGACATGTCTCGTGAATGATGAGATGCAGCGAGGGCACTCCAAACAGCAAAACAAAGCACATTCAACAGGAGTCCTCACCTAGGAGGAAACTGTTAATCTGCAAAAATAAAGAAGGAAGATGCAGGCTAGTGGCTGTCAAAGCCTTGTTAAAAGAGAGGAAGGCTTTTCACAAAATCCTCTACAATCAGAGGTTGCAGAAATGTTGAGAATACGACTGTTGGGGCAGAGAAGATGCAGGAAGAGGAAGGCAGGTACGGAGTAACTTAGAAGACAGCCGATCCCACCCAGCCACTCCCAGGCAGAAAGGCTCCAGAAGTTCAGAGGAAATCCCTAATGTTAGATGTGTCCCTTCCCTGGGTACCCAGCGAAGGCTGCGTGTTTCCAGAGGCCACCGAACGTTAATAGAAGAAATGCTCTCTCTCCCCCAAGCCTTTCACTGGGAGATCTAGAGGCTGAAATCTGCAGTCTTCTGAAGGGTGCAGCTGAGTTCCCAACTCTACGTATCTGCACACAAAATTAGGAAAAGGGTGTAGCAGAAAATCCATATAGCACGTACACTTTCCATTAAAAATCACATCATGAAAAGGCTATGCTGGCTGAGGAATTCTGGGAGTTGAAGTCCACAAGTCTTAAAAGTCGCCAAGTTTGGCGCCCTCTGGGCTAGGCCTTAAAAAATTGGGAAAATACATTTATGGCCCCAATTGCTCAGCGGAGACCTGACATTTCATGTGATGGACAAGTCATCCCTCTGCAAGCATCGGTTATGGATATTGCAGTAAAAGGGGGTCTCCCTTTATTGAAACTGTTGTGTAAGCACATCCCTGAGGCCCAGGAGACGGAGTGCGGGGAGGGGGAGTACATGCAGCATACACACACACACCCCACGCCCCCTTTTGGCTTCCTAGGCCTCAGGGAAACCTCCTGGGCGAAGCAGTAAGACAGCGAGGGGGATCCCAGCACAGCTGATTGTCGAAACAGGTGATCGTTGGGAGGAAGAAAAGAAAAAAGAAATACTGGTTAGGCCGAACGGTAGCAAAAAATTGAACCAGGCCGAATCGGTAGAATATCACCATTGATGAGGACCCCTTCTCTCTTTCTCTCTCTCTCTCTCTCCCTCTCTCTCTCTCATTTTTGAGGAAGGCCACTGAACCTCTGCTGAGGCAAGGTGAAAACGGATCAAAGAGGCTGAGCAGGAAAGTAATAATTATCTTTTGCTGTTCCCACAACATACTTGCAGCCTTGGTCCAGACTCAGTTTCAGGCATTGTGGGAATATGGACTGTGTAACTAAAGAGAAGACTTTGCTGAGAGCTTTGAGGCTGCTGCAGAGGTTGGTGAGGATTCACTCAAAAGACACAATAGGGGATGAAAAGGGTGACCAGCCTGCGCATGAGATAAAGGCCCATGGGAAGCACTGACCCCGTCCACTAATAGCCAGCCTCTGTCTCGTAGGGACGTCTGTCACGGGAATGAATTGGATTGCATCTTTTGGCCCAGCCTTCCTTCAGAGGAAGCCCTGAGCCTTTCGCTTGCTTGGCATTCTCATTCCAAAGAGCAGAAAAAGAAAATTGCTAATGGAGAAGGTTCCAAGTTGTTTGAGCAAGAGGTCCAGAGGCAGAAATTAATCCGGATGAGGGACCTTTCGGTTAAAAGCAGGCCAGGCGACCTCCTGGACTCAAGATCTGCTTGGGAAGCCCTGGGCCTCTCGTGATACCTGTCATGGCCCAGACTTTGATTCTGACTCTTGAATCTAAGGAAGCTGCTCCAGCTGATCCTGTGGAATGTCAACCTGAGGAGACACCCAGCCAAGAATCACGTCAGGCTGATCAAGCACAGGCACCACCTGGATGGCTGAAGCAGGAGGAGGACTGAAGGCCTCCCAGCCTCTGCACCTGGTGAGGAGAGAGCAGAGAAGAGCAGAAACAGGCTCCCGCCAAGCAAACGAGTAAATCTCTTGATTGGTGACAGCTGGCTGCAACCTGATTTAAGAGGCAGCCCTGACCCAGCTCCCCTTTGTTGGAAACAACATCTGATCTCTGGCTCTTGCATGACATTCCTGTGAACCCTGCTGTGCAAGAAACCTTGAACCCCTGACCTCTGTGGGAAGCCTCTTAGAATTTGTGTTTTTGTTTGACTGACACCCCTAATGGGGCTCCTGGAACTTTGGACTGGATTTTGTCAGGCACCAGAAAGACCAGGTCCACCCATGAAAGTCCAATTAAATTGATTTGCTGCTAATAACCCAGGCACAGGAATCTTCTCAACAGCTGGCACTTGGTTGAAGTTAGATTAGGGTCAATGCAATTCAAGGGGGGAGGGGTTATCTCCTTGTGGCTACATAGGGATTTTAGGCTGAACCCTCTTTTAACTCTGCCCCCAGCTTCTACTGCTGCTCCTCCTCCTCCTCTAGATTTAGACTAGTCTTCTGCACGCTCCTGTTAAAAGCAAATTCTTGAGGCAACTTTCTGTTTCGTTGTTGTTCTGTTTTGCTGTCATCTCTTCAGCCTTAAAATACAATTGCTAATCTCCATAGCAACCATGCTTGAGTGTGTGTGATTGAAACCCGAAGCACGACAATAACAACGTGGGGCTATGGAATTCACTGGGTGATATCTCTCATGTTGTGGAAGGCCTGGTGGAGGGACCGATAGGTATACTGATTTGAGAGTGGAGATTCATCTTGGAGATAAATCAAAGAAGGAAAATAATAAACAAGACAACTTGAACTGTACTAAGAAAATACCTTTCAGGTCAAAAGTCTGTCCGTTGCTGTTGAGTAAGCTAAGAAAATTTGAGAAAATCTGAGTGATGGAAGAATTGGATGGCATTCTGAATACAAATATTTTAGAATGGATAGTGACCCTTTGTGTGTTTTTACTGTTGTTGTTTTTTTGGTGTTGAGACAACACTGACAAAAAACACAAAACAAACAGTCATCATGTAAAAGAAAGGAAACTTTCTATGTGAGAAAAGTTGTATTTGTTAGAAGAGTTGCATATTCAATAATTTAGTTTCCTATTGCAGAATAATTCAGAAAGCTTCAGAACCCCCTGCCTCCACAATGAAGCCCTACAGAATGCAATGGGCTTTCAGGAAGACAAGAAGGAAGCGCTCTCCAGATGCTGCAGAGTCAGCTGGAGAATCAGATATTTGAGAAAAGACAGGAGAGAAGAAGGTCTGTCCTAAGAGCTGTGGAATTATTGGAGCGTCCACAAGTGTAGGTTTGACTGCACATCGAAGTTTAATCGTACACACATGTAAAGCAAATATGGGTCCCCTTTGAGGCAAATGGAATAGAAGGCGACATGGAAGACACCAAAACAGGGACCAAAGAGGCAGCGAATTGTTCTGCAAAATTACAGGTGTTGCTACTCAGAGGCCTGGAAGATTAAGGAGAAATTACATGAAAAACACCTGAGGGTGAAATTTGATTTGACACACAACAATTAGAGGCAAACCAAGACTGAGATAAGATTGTGACAAGATTGTGAAGATATGGTGGTGACGGTGAGAACAAAATATCTGGATTGACATGGTAACTAATTTTAGTTAGACATTAAAAAATGAGGGAGAAAGAAAAAAAGATCATCAAATGCGTGACACACGCTGTTGAAATATTAAAACCAGAAACCTGGGAAACGTTCTATTCCTTTCTTTAACAGAAGCTAGGAAGCCGACATTGTGAATTGTGGGTCTTGGGTGTGGCTGAGCGCTTGGCAGGCTTACCATTCTTGACTTGGATAGCAGAACCCTGGCCCTGGAGGTGAACCACTGCTGGCTGCAAAACAGGAGAGAGCAGATTCAGATTAAAACAAAGGTAGATTCCCCCAGTTTACAGAAATGCCCAAATGCTTGTCTTGAACATTTACAATACATGGAGTCCTCAAATTAGGACTACAATTAGGACTGGAAACCCCGGGCACTGAGTGACCTTTAAGCAAAGACACCCATGTCGTCACTGTTTCTGGCAGTTACGCTCGTGAAGCCCCCTCTGGGTCATTGAATGGATGGAGTGAAAGAGGGCCTGTTGCAGGATTCCTGAGATCCCGTCTTGGGGCTGCAGGAATGGGTCCTCCACTTTCAACCTTCCCTGCCCGTCTCCCCATTAATTTTCGGGAAAGCCGGCAGAGAAAATTGCAAATGGCAATCACAGGATTGTGAGGTGCTTGGCAACTGGTTGTAAATGCGAGTCACCACTTGCCTAGCAGCTGAAAGGTGGACCACAAAAGTGTGGGGGGGGGAGGGGCACAACTTTTTATAGTGGCCAGAAGTTCTTTATGGGCCATAATGCACCTTTCCAAGGTCGTGATAACTTTGAATGTTTGTTAAATGTCTGTTCGTAAGTTTAGGACAACCTGGAAGAGACTATGAATTTCTGATCTCGTGGAACTAAAGTCCATTCATTGCTATAAATAACTTATTTGGTCATCAGAAATTTCCTAAATGCAAGCTGTGAAAAATTGACACAAATGTGTGAAATTACAGCAAATACGTCCTTTAGCAACATAACATAAGAAAAAGATGATAGATCTAATCGGATCACCTAGATTTTATGCAAAGATGGATAAACAAATCTGCTCTGGCTGGAAAAGTCGCATTTTTTTGCATTTAAAAAGGAAGCAAGGTACATTTGTGATCAGTGTACCTGATGTTTTCCCCCCAATGAAGTTACTGACCTGTGAATCCCTAGGTCCCGCTCTTTCTGTTGTGCCTGCAAAACAGTTTTTATATTGAGTCATATATGGCTTTATATGAGCAAGCTTTTTTAAAAAACTTCATCAAAATCCCATGCTTTTAGGAGTTCATTGGTCTGGGTATCTGCTAATCCTGGAAAGACGCCTTCCATACCATGACATTGTATTTTACTCTTCTGCAGCCAAAAAAAATCCGTTAGCACCTTATCGCTCTTATATAATTGCAGCCCCCTCAACCCTAGTACAAAACATTTACATCACTATTGCTCTTTTCTCCTCCCCCCTTTATTCATTCCCGTTTATTAAAACATGTATCACCCTGTATCCAAAAAGCCATAATTCAGAAAATCCCTGAATAATAACTGGTCCTTCTTTTGATTATATTATCAAGCTATCAAAAGAAAAATATCTTGGTTCACAATTTATACTTAATATCCTCTTAATATGTATTTGTGGACCTTTTAAACAGGTTAGGAATGGTGTCTCATTTTGAAATTTATCCCCCTTTTGGGGGGAAGGGAAAATGGAGAGAGTTCCATCAGCCTTAATTCTACAATTAAAACTACATTTGGCATAATTTTGGTGGGTTGATTGATTACAGAAATATCTCAGGGGACATTATGCCCTTCCTCCTTCTCCATAGCTTATGCAGTTGCAATACTCTTCACATAGCTACAACAATATTCATATTTTGCTTTATACTTAAAACCACAGGCAGCTTCGGTATAAACTGAGAAATATTTTGTGGCCATTCATCCAGTCACAGATGTGCTTCTTTCTAATGTCTACAGTGACATAACAAGAGCCGTGGTGGCTCAGTGGTTAGAAACCAGTTTTGAATGCTAACTCTGCCCACTGCCAGGAGTTCAATCCTGACCGGCTCAAGGTTGACTCAGTCACCTGTCCTTCCGAGGTGGGTAAAATGAGGACTCAGATTGTTGGGGGCAATAGGCTGACTCTGTAAACAGCTTGGAGAGGGCTGTAAAAGCACTGTGAAGCGGTATATAAGTCTAAGGGCTCTTGCTATTTCTATAACTCAGTTTTGCTCCAGAAAATGATCCCTGTTGCATTAAGAAAGGGGATTGGCTGGAAGTCTCTGCACAGAAAAGTCAACAAGGAGCAAGAGATGGTTCAGGTAAGTCCTGAGAAGATTCCTTTGCTCTTCTGTGACATTCTTCATGGGTTATGTGGAGATCAAATGTGTAGTTTGGACAACCCTCTATTTTGTGCCCTTTGGGATGAGCCAGATTGCAGGCACATTTGAGGTAACTGTTTCTCAGATTCCTGTATGTACCTACAAAAACCCCCACAGGTTGACAAGCATTATATAGTAGGGGACAGTTTTAGAATAACAGAGTTGGAAGGGACCTTGGAGGTCTTCTAGTTCAACCCCCTGCTCGAGCAGGAGAGTCTATTCTAAATATTAGCCTCTATCTAGGATCGAACTCACAGCCTGGCTTTCTTTCTTGCGTGCATGTTCACTCTCCTAAGCACTTACCGGTAGGGCCTTGCAACCCAGGGGGTCCCTGGGGGCCTGGAGGTCCTGGGGGTCCCGGAGGTCCCATCACGGTGGTACCTGGAATGCCAGGGATACCTGGAATGCCAGGGGGGCCTTGGGGTCCAGGTGGTCCAGGTGGGCCTTGGGGCCCAGCAGGTCCTGGAGGGCCAGCTTTTTTGCCTGTGAAAATACAGGGTTATGTTTTCATTTGTATAAACATGGATGCTAAGCTACATGGGCAGGTTCTATTGCTTCCTGGGTATGAAGGTATTGGTTAACAGGACTGACACCATTACTTCCTCCAGCAATTCGAACAGAAATAGAAATAGAAATAGAAATAGAAATAGAAATAATAGAAATAGAAATAGAAATAATAGAAATAGAAATAGAAATAGAAATAATAGAAATAGAATTCTTTATTGGCCAAGTGTGACTGGTCACACAAGAAATTTGTCTTTGGATTTCTGCCAAAGAGACAAATTGAAGATAATATGAGAGTAATCTTGGACACCTTGGAATACTACGAGGCACATCCTGAAAAACAAATGGCTCTGATATTTCTAGATGCACAGAAGGCATTTGATAATGTGAATTGGCGGATTGTTTCCCTCTTGGAAAGTGCCACCTAAGGCTTTGGTTGCCGTTATTGTCATTTTTTTTTTTTTTTTTTATTTATTTATTTAGTCAAACGCTTACAATATAATAGAAATAAGAATAAACATAAGTATAAATACATGAAATAGGAATGAATAATTGGGGCCAATAGGACAGGGACGGTAGGCATGATGGTGCGCTTATGCACGTCCCCTTACAGACCTCTTAGGAATGGGGTGAGGTCAATAGAGGCTAGTTTGAGGGTAAAGGAGTGGGGGTTTGAGCAGGTGACAACAGAATCAGGTCGTGAGTTCCAGACATTGACCACTCTGTTGCTGAAATCATACTTCCTGCAATCAAGTTTGGAGTGGTTTACATTAAGTTTATATCTGTTGTGTGCTCTTGTGTTGTTGTGGTTTAAGCTGAAATATTCATTAACTGCTAAACTGTTGTAACATATGATTTTATGTACTATTCTTAAGTCCAATCTTAGCCGGCGAAGTTCAAGGTTGTCGAAGCTTAGAATCTCAAGTCTGGTGCTGTAGGGTATTCTGTTGCGAACAGAGGAGTATAGTACTCTTCTTGTAAAATACCTCTGGACTCGCTCAATTGTATTTATGTCTGATATACAGTGCGGATTCCAGACAGCAGAGCTGAATTCAAGTATTGGTCTAGCAAAGGTTGTGTATGCCCTAGTTTTCAAATCAGTATTACCAGAAGAGAAGCTTCGTAAGATCAGATTTACAACTCTTAAAGCCTTTTTTGCAATGTTGTTGCAGTTGTCATCCCCGAGTCTTTGAGGGTTTCAAGGGGATTTGTGCTACAGACCACTGCATGTGAGTCCTCCTGGTTGGAATTGGGCTGTAAGGGTTTGGCGCTAGGGGTTAGGAGCTTGAGAATGCTCCCAGCTCTATGCTTCTTCCCCCTCCGTCTTCTCTTCCTAAAGTGAACCATTCTGATTTCTCTTAAGCATTACTTGCTCCAGTTATCTGAACAAGTAGCTTGAAATCATAGGGTGGAATTATTATTAGTCCCTTCGAGCCAGTCTTGAATCCTGGCAGGTGTTTGAACAAATCCCTGAAGTTTTCTTAGCAAGATTTCACAAGCTGCTCGCCACTGTCTGCTTCCTAGGGCTGAGATAGTATACCTGGCCAGGTTCTTCCTCCTGCCCAAGGCTGGCTTCAGGTTTCTCACCTGGTGTCTTAACTACTACATCAAATTGGCTCTCCAAGGGTAGAATTAGCTCATCCTGTAATTTGGGAATTTTATTTCTACTCATGTGATCTAAAATTGTGTTTACGTTTTTTGAAACTGCGCTTCACAACTGGTATTTATATTCAGCTTGTGATCAACCAGAATTCCTTCTTACAAGCAGCAGCCAAACCAGCATCCCCCATCCAGGCCTATTCCTGTAACCCAGGGGTCCCCAACCACCGGTCCACGGACC